ACCCCCCCCCCCCCCCCGCCTACTTACGTACCTTCCCTATTCATCAGATGATGAGTGTAGTGGCTTTGCCACAGTACTCACCAACAATGGCTCTCAATACAGTTTACCAAATTCCACCCTCAAAACGTAAGTCTCATTTGTGTCTTTTATCATCATATGGCTACCACCTTCATCATCATCATCATCATCATCATCATCATCACCATCATCACCATCATCATTATCGCTACCACCACCATCGTTATTATCACTATCATCCTCACCATCCCCATCACCATCATATCATCTCCATTATCAATATCTCCACATGAGGTTTGGAAATGCCTGGTTTTCTCAAAAGTGTTGGAAGTACTAGATTATTTCTCGGTGAAGTAGAAAGCAGGCTTGTTGATCATTCTGTGCAGAACATAGAGGAAGATGTCTGTCGCAAGAATAATTTATTCTCTCTTACAATTTCCATTTCGAGAAACAGCTGAGCCTCCCACGGTATTGGAACAGACGAATCATAGCTTTGTTAAAAACTCATAGCCTTCCATTGAATAACAATCTCTATCGGTGGAAATTAACAAATTCACCCTTATGTGAGAGGTGTAACTCTCATGAAATTGAAGATGAATGTCACTTTATTTTCTATTGTCCGTACTTTGTCCGTCAAAGGAAATTGTTAATTCTTCCTCCCGCCCAGCCAGACTCGGCCAGTGACAGAAATATGCAATGTTTGACCCATGGTAACAGATATGTGCACAACCTGTACTTTTTCATCATGGAAATTTTATTTATCAAATGAGTGTTTTTATGATGTGATGTGGGCCAATGGCCTTACGCACGGAATAAACTTAGATCTACTTACTTACTAAATCACCACAACTGCTGTAGTAGGCTACTAGTTGTCGTTATCTTCAGAGAAAATTAGCAGCTTCCTCCTCTAACTTATTGTGCACCTCCCTTCCTTTTCCACCCCTCCCCTTCCCTTTCCACCCCCTCCCCTCCCTCTTCCCCCATATCCCCGCTCACTCTTCCCCTCTCCCCACCCCTCCCCTCTCTCCCCTCCCACTCTTCTCTCTGCACCCCCGCCCCCTTCCTTCAGTAATAACGCCCATTGTCAGTTCGCCATGGCCAGAGACCTCAAGCAAGGTCAACAAGTGCGAGTGCGACTACAGTGGAGACCTTTGCCTCACACAGTAAGACTCATGCAAGGTAAGTGAGCAGGTTATGTGAGGCATCGTGGTGAAATCAGGTGCTCATCGAAATAGTGAAATTGAAGAAACTGGCATTAAATGCTCAAAAAAATAGAAAATTTTGAGTTTTCAAGTACATTGGTACGAATTACACCACCTGCTGCCAAATGGTCAAGTCAAACCTCAAGGAAGAGTGGATGAATGATTGGGCCACAGGTACGACAGGAAGGAGGATGTATGGCCACATGAATAAACCACTGGTCAAAGATCCAATCAATGAGTTGAGGAGGGGAGATCAATCCATAATCTTCCAACTTAGAACACAACATGTACCCCTCAACAACCAACATCTCAACCGAATTGG